AGTATCATTTGAGAATGAGAGTGTGAATCATATAAGAAAGAAAATCTTTGCCGGGCTCTACAGAATCCATAAATGGGATTCATTATATCAAAAAACTTGATCGAAAATCGGTTATATACCAAAAAAATCCTATTTTTTTCTACATGGAGTAATGTCTATGATATTGTAATTATATAATGATGACTAATTTTGATAAGGAAATAAGGAAGGCGATATTGTTTTAATTTCTTTAAAGATTTGAAAGCATGTATTCTTGAATTACTTGTATAATTAGAATTAATTTTAAATGGGGCACACATGTATATTTGTTATTTTCTTCTGAAGATAGAGGCCATGATTTCATATCATAGAAAAAGATATGAATCCCTTATATTATGTATTTTGACCCTGGAGAAAAATGATGTATTATCTGGTTAGAGATATGCTAGCTTCAGATTGTGTACATTTGAAGTAACTGGGCGGTGTCTTTTACTTTATTGTTTTGTTTGTTTTTAATTATTTATATTTGACAGGTATAAATATTAAAAATAATATTTCGGAGCAGTATCATTTGTATGCAGTACCTCATTTGTGTTGGTATGCTATGGATCAGAATGTACAGAGGTGAATTTCAACAAAATCTTACAATTGGCTGAGTTGTTGCCATGGTGAATCAGGAGTCTACAGAAAAGGTATGTGCATTGATTATGCTATAAATTCCACTCAAGCAAAATATCAGATTTGTTAAGCATAAAAGATTATGATAACACATCAAGTATGTCCAGAAAAATAAGTAATAAAATCACTCAGATATTAAATTATTTAGCTAAGGAAAAATGTAAATATTTTAAAAGACTACCTTGTGGTTTACATGTGGGAGAATGTGGCTTAGAATAGTTCTTTTAATAAATTAAATTTTATAGACTATTATCAGATATAGATGGATAGAATTACATCATGGTATGTATCAAATACAACTCAGCATCAGACTTTGTTAGGGATACCACTTTATGAATCTCTAGATGTCCAAATGCCAACCTAAAGCAACAAAATAAAATTCTCATCAATTTATGAATCTGCAGACTACTAAATACAGTCCATTCCCATTATATATGATGTACTAGTGGCTGAGAAAAGTGACTTTCACACAGCCACTTGGAAACACAGTCCTGTCTATTTAACTCCCTGTTCGTAAATCTTACACATCAATTATAATTCATGTGACTATGTCTTTTCTAAAGCATCTTACTTAGTGGTTTATTCATTGTTGTCTAACAGTTATTACTTCTGATTTTGTGCTTTCATTGTAGGTTACTACATCAGCTTTAACAAAGAATCAAGAGGAAACAAAAATGCTATAAATAATTGTATAGCTTTCTTTATAGCTAAATAATTTTTTTCTTTCTAATTGCTCACATTTTTTTAGACTCATTACAGGAAGCATCTCTGACTGATTATGAAATAGTTGCTGGAAATAATCTGTGTAAAGTAAGCATCCATCTCACACATTTTAAGCCCTTACCTTTATTTCAAGGCAACTCTTTTGTTTGGAGCCAAATAATCAAAATATAGTAGTTATCTAAATCCTTAGTGCACTACTCCTAGATAAAAAGATTATGATTTCAAGGTCTCTCCATATAAAAGTAATCCCTTCATAGTGCAGCTTTCATTTCCATTGAATTTTAAATTTAATTCAGAAATCTTATAATAATGATATTAATATGTTGAAAAAGCTTTATGGCACAGATCAAAACATAGCCTGATTATATAGACTGTGTGTATCCTGCCAGGTTAATTATTGCAAAATCTCATTTGATATTCATAAGTAATGCAGATTTTTAATTCATAAATTACTAAAGAGATTACTAATTTTCTACCTGGCTTTGTTCTGCATCTCCCTGGAGTTTCTTTGGAAAGTAAGAATTGACATTATTAAAAATATAAGGAAATAAACCTATTGACTCAGACTGGCACACAGCTTCCTATGGTCTGGCCCCAATCACTCTTTCTATTCTTATCTTCCTCTCACACACCTACACACCAGAAAATAGAAGAGCTTACTCTTCCTGGAGCATACGCCATCCTGTCCCATTCCTTTGCCTTAATCCATGATGCCTGAAAGGCTCTCTTTTCTCACACCCTCCACTGCCAGTCTGTGTATCCAGTATAAGCTACTCATATTTATTTAATGCTTACTACATGCCATCTATTTTGCTGAGGCCATTATAGTCAGCCCTTCGCCTCACCCAGTTGCATATCCTCAGATTCAACCAACCTCTGATTGAAAATGTTAGAAAAAAATAAAGAAACAATAATAATAAACAATAATAAAGAAAAACAAATAAAAACGCAATAGAATAACTATTTACATAACACTTACATTGTATTAGGTATTATAAGTAATCTAAAGATGATTTAAAGTATATAGAGGGGTGTGCCTAGGCTATATGCAAATTCCTTGCCATTTTATATAAGGGACTTGAGCATCTATGGATTTTGGTGGGAGTCCTAGAACCAATCCCCTGCGGATAGACAGGACCAACTGTATTTAATTTGTGCCTTGTAAAAACCTTATTTTACAGATGAAGAAACTTTGGCTAGTTACCCAACTAGTAAATGGTAGATCTGGGATTTGCAACCAGGTAGTATGACTTTAGGTCTTACACTGTGATACATTAATTAACACTGTGGTATATTAATTCTAAGTCCCAATAAACTTCTGAGATCAAGAGTGAAATAATACTTCTTTCATGGATAATTTATTGACCACCTCAACCTTTCTCCCCCTTTCCTGTCCTTGTATCTCTCTGAGGTCATACTCTAACTTCTTACCACTGACAAAGTTAGTGATATACCCATCACATTTCCTCTACTAGGCAGTACCCTTTTGAGAACAGTGCTCTGATTCATCTTTATAGTCTCTGTAGTAAGTAGTAAAATGCTTTTCACATACTAAGCCCTCTACAAATATTGGGTATATAAATTCATCATTCAAAGAATTGAGATAGTTTGGACTGTACCACAAAGGACTTCCCCCAAATGATTTTTAAAATCTACTTAGCTGGCCTATCATTTGGTAATCACAATCATCCCAACTAGGTATTTATTTCTTCCCAAATTCGATATTTAACTTGGATTCATAAAAGCGAGCAACTGTTTGGACATTTCAATTTCAAACCCATTCATTTGGTCAGATGTATTTGATTTTACTGAGTCAGCCAATAAAATTCAAAACTATTGTGCCAGGAAACCAGGAGAATTTTGCTTACCCTTAAACAGCCATAATATTAAATAGTCTGGGAAGATAGAAAAAGTTACTTAATTATTTTTCTTACATGATACCAAGCCAAAGTAACTCTTTTTTTTTTTTTATTCTTGAAGATAAACTGGATAGTTTAATATTACTTAGAGACAACCTAATTTCATTCACTCAATTTGTTGAATCAGGGGGTTTGACTTGAGTGTATTTGAGGCTTCCCCCCTTAAGCCATCAAAAGATCACCTTTTCTCCCCTTGTTCTAAATATTGATATTATAATTCATTTTGACAATTATCCAATAGAAGTTTTAAAGTCTTATTTCTGTTTATATAACAAGAACAATACCTCCAACTCTTAAAATAATTACTACGGAATATAAGATGAAGAATTATCAGATTTAAGATGTGCCTTTTATCTTTTCAAACTCAAATATACTATACGCATTGGCAAAAATTACATAATAAAGGACAAGGTAATTATATGAAGGTTGATTGTAACTTATTGAATTCAGAACAAGGATTCTTGAATGAATTCACTGTTAGAATTGAGCACTATTTTTCTTTTTTCATTTCTTTTAAGTTCTGCAATTAAAAAACATTTATCTCACTTGGAAAAATTAACATATAAAAACTAACTATCCAAAGTATAATTTTACCAGTTTTAAGAATGCTAGAGCATTTCTCAAAAATGAATTACTTTGGGATGATTTTTCTTGAACTCCTAAATTATCATTTTCTTTTAGTAGCTTAAAGCTTAAGTAATTAAGCCATGATTATTAAGTATATTACAAATTATCAGTGACAGAATAACCTCATATTAAATTATCTTGAAAAATAGGATCATGCCAGAGACTCAGAAATGCATGGCAGCTATATAGCTTAAAGGAGAGAAAAAGGCTGTTTTTCACAATTAGGTCCACACTAGCAATAGTGCTGAGTTATTTTATTGATCCTTGGTGGAAGGAATGGGTCTCTGAGGCTTACCTAGAAATTTACACTAGGTAAATAAACAAGAAGCTTGTTGAGTCTGCCATCTGACATAGAGAAAACTATGACAGTTTCTCTGAGAAGTTAGGTACTCTTTAAGCTGAATTATTCTTCAATCAGAACATTGTTGTATATCTTATCATTTGTTGTTTGTCTCTAACTTATTGTATAGAACTTATAAAAGAGTTTTCAGTGAAGTATCAGATAGCTAGCAAGGGAAAATTAAGAACAATGTTTTCTGGAATGAAATGCACCTACATCCTTTCACACTCACACCACATTTCTCTTTTTGTCGTATTGGTGTTGCCTTTGGCATACGTTAGGCACTGTTGGTAAATGCATAACTATCCTTGCTTGTTCCCTGGTACAGAAAAATGATGAAACACTCTCATTTTGACTTTCCTTGTAAAAGAAAACAAAGACTAAGTGAGTCTGCCCTTGACAGGTGTGACCTCTCCACCCCCCACCCCCACCCCCACCCCACCTCAATCAGCATCACTGAGCAGCCCTTTGCAGAATCAGCCAGTGGAAACTGAACCCCAACTCCTCCAACTTTAAACCAAGCCATTTCATTTGATCTTAAGCCCAGGTAAGGAAAAAAAAAAAAAACACTAATAAATAAAAGGACAACATAAAGAAACATAGCTTGCCAACAAGAACCTACATGCAAGCCAGAGGAGATTTATGATTTTGTTTCCCAGGGAGAGGGTGACTAAAGCACGCACACTGACCATCACCATAAAGAGGTAAAGAGAGAGTGAAATGGCTCAACGTACACACACCCCGCTCCATACCGGGGACGAGTCTCCAAGCTGCGGCTTGTGCTCTCGGAGGGCCAGGCTGAAGCTGACCGCCCCCACGGCCACGCTGGACACCCCCAGCCCTATCTCCAGCACAGAGAGCACCAAGAGGCTCCCAATAATCTGGCCGCTGGTGCACATCCTTCCTCGGTCATCATTCCTTCCAGATCAGAGAGGGAAACCAACCATCCACCTTTTCTCTCTTCCACTATCCTTCTTACCCCTTCCACCCCCTACCAGATCCCAAAACTTTTCTTTCTTCACCAGCAAGGCATTAGCCACAGGACCGGATTTCCAGAAACGGAGACCCTCTTCTCTGACCAGGCCAGGGACGAAGGAGCTGCTCCACCCCCCTGGCACGTTCGGACAGGGACCGTAGAAGGCTCTTCTCGGGCTTGGTGGTGCGAGTCCGGGAGGAGCGAGCACACCTAGCAGCAGGGCTCCTGAGAAGGAAGCAGAAACCTGGAGGAGCCCGGGGAGCTCCGAGGCGCTGTCCAGAGTTCCGCCGCGTCCCAAATCTCCGCCGGGAAACGCCGCGCCCTCCTTGCCCTCCCAGACCTGTTCAGGCTCCTTCCTCTTTCCTCGGCGGCGGCGGAGGAGATGAGCTTTGCTGCGTGGAGCTCCGAGGGGACACCGCTCGGAGCTTCTCTGTCCCCAGCCCTCTCGTCTCCTCGCCTTTGTTTTCGCGGCAATGCAAAGCGCTCCTGCAAGTCTGCAGGTCCCCAGGCGGCGCGGGCGGATGGTATTCAGCACCACGCTCCTCGCAGCCGCTGTGTCGCCAGAAAAAGCGACCTTGTCTGATGGCCTCTTTCCGTCTGGGTTTCCTCTCCCTCGTAGTCGTCGTCGTCCTCTTCCTCCCCCTCTCTCTTGATCTGACTCTCTCTCATTGCTATGACCTCATAGGGATTTAGGGGGCTGACGGAGGAGGGGAAGGAAGCCTGATGTATGTGCGGATGTGGGACCAATACTCGCGGCTGGCCTTTGATCTGCCCCGCCCCCGGACCCGACCCTAACCACAGGAATCCAAGCGATCCCTACCTCTGCATCTCCCCCGTTCGCTCCCTCCTGGGCTTCTCTCCAGCCGAGAGGGGAGGCGATGCCTACGTCAACGCGGGGCTCATTCTGTGCAAAACTTTCTTCCTCCTTGTGCACTGGGGTGAGGGGAGCAGCGAGCAAAGAAAGGCAGAGCGCAGAGAAAACGCAGGCTGCTAATTTCACGAGGGGTCCCAGGGACCCTCACCAAGGACTCCTCTGTCTAGAGTCGCTAGCGCCAAGCTTACTCATAAGGAGCGTCCACTCACTGCCTGCTACCGCGACCTGCCACCTCTGTGTGTGAGGGGAAAGAAGCTTGAGGCTGGGGCCACACTTCTGCGGTGATGATGTTCCACCCCAGCCCGCAGACTCATGCTTTCCTGGAAGCTTTGCCAAACGTTCTGGGATGGATAGTTAGACCCAGCTCAGCTGGAACTGTGTGTTCTCACGCAAATTCAAGAGATGTGAAAGCATAGGAGCAGGCATTATTTAAAAAAAAAAAAAAAGTCTGGCTCCATGCACAGCTGTTTTTTGATAGTCTTCTCTCATCAGAATGATTAGGGCAGGGGCCATGCCAACTTGGCTTGGGTCTTTTGGTGTCGTCCTCTTTGATTTATATGAGGGTCTAGATGGCTAAAAATCTCTATGTTTGGACCCTATTTTCATTTCCCTGATTTTCTCTTTATGAAAAATGTCAAGACAGTCTACCAAGGAGATCTAGGAAGTGGAAGAATGAGGAGAGGTTTTGGGGGGATGGGTCATCTTTCTCAAAAACTGGGTTCACCAGTTGGAGATGGACTGAATGAAAATAGAATGGGAGGATGAGGCTAGGGAACATTAACACCAGACTAGGGCATCTTGAATTCTAAACACACGCAGAGCAGCACTGTGCAGGTGCCTCTGGGATTAGAGGCTTCTTTTTAAAGCCCCAATGATGAGCACATAAAGGTGAGTAACCTGTAGCATACGTTTTGTAGCAGAAGTGCCAGTTTCAGTTTTCTTAAATTTGATTTGGGGCTTGTTTCATAGTATAAGTTCAATTCTACACTATAATTTATTTCCTTTGACATTAATATTTTGCAATTTAAAAAATTTGAGTCCTCTTCCCTTACAAACAAAATAAAAAGCAAGAAAGAAGAGTTACAATTTATTAGGCCTTAAAGAGTCTTCAGTTATTGTGATATTTGGAGAACGACTTAAACATGTATATTGAATGAAATTAACAGATTTGGTTTATACTTCTTGAAATCTGGCCCATCAAATAGCCATTTACTAGAATTCCTCAAATGGTTATGGCTTTAATGAGGCATAGTTTATTTTATTTAAATGTTGTAGAAGTCATCTAAATGATCCAATTTATATGCAGAAATAATGAAGTATCTATGTTGCCTAAACTTTGGTTGTATTTAGTCACTGCTTTTCTTTTTAATTATTCTTCCCCATTAGAAAGAGGACAAATGTATCAATTATTAAAATAAATTGATTAATGCAGAAATATAAGAAAGAGAGAATTTATAGGAAAGAAAATTAATTTTTGGAGAGAACATAAGGATGGAGTTAAAAATATATGAATTTCACAGAGTAAAAGAACTGAACAAATCATGTATTATCATTGAATTTTCAGCTCTAAATATTATAGATAGAAGTGAGTTTACTTAAATACCTCAAAGCCTAATCATATGGCTGAATATAACCAATCTTGATTAAGTCTGGGTCATTGGTGCAAAACCAAAACTTTTGAAAATTAAATTGTACATAAGACAAAATTAAACCATCTTCATTTATAAGTAAATACCAATGACTCATAAGAAAACAAAAATATTTTTAGAAATAAAATAAAAACAATCATTTTTCATGGAAGAAATTACTGTTTTGTGTTTTAAAACATGAGTGTCAATGTTAGAATTTTCAAAAGAATTTGACATTACCTTCACTAGGACACAAAGTATATTTTGCTTGCCTTTTTAAGTGGCATAAAGATCCTCTCAAACTAAACATAAATATATCTAAAATTTCTTCATAGTTGTGCAAATCAAGAACAAAAAATGGAGTCAAAGTAGAAAAATTATTTATAATTTTTATTATTATAATTATCCTCCAAAATTATTTTTAGAGAAACAATTATAGGATAAAACCATAAATCAAGAGAAAATTACATAAAGTACATTGCTATCCAAATACCACTGGCTCCACAGTTTGAAGATTTAAATTTTTTTATGTCATAATACACCAAAAAAGCTATTCATGAGGTCCATTGATAGATGGTTCAATATTTCTACAACTTCAACAAGAGCAATTGTAAAAAAAAAAAAAAAAAATCTCAAGTTTGCCACCTGCTGGTTTATACGTGATACAAGTGAATGTGTGGGTAGCTTCAAAATCATTCTTACTAAATTTCTCAACTAATAAAAAACATCTTCGTAATTCATCTCTTTAGGGACCTAAGTACTATCAATAAGTACTCAAGAGTTCTGAGGTCTTCATGCACCCATTTATCCAAATTCATTTATAGAAATTTTAATATCTGGATAAAGGTAAATCCAGGAATTGGTAGACAAATACTTCCTGTCTTAATATAATAAAGTAAGTTGACAAAATGATCAATGCAGTCACTAATATAGAATTAGTTGTTGGAAAGGCTAAAAATTTAAAATGATTAATTTTGAGATCTGATTTAAAGTGTCTAAGTTATTATAAACCAAATTTATATGCTGACCCTAGGTACCGGACTGAATGATCAATGTAATACAAAAAATTAAGAAAAAGAAAAACCACAAAATTATTTCAATCATTAAGTAGTTTTGAATACTAGAAATCCATTTAATATTTTAATATTCTTGTCAGTGTGGTTAAAAGGGATTATACCTAAAAATTTACCTAGGATTTGATGAAGTGTTTCTTACAAAAAGGTAAGAAATGGCAATATTTTGAGGGTTTTCTTTTTCTTAACAGCCGAGGAGCAGAGATAATAGAACCTGAATTTATCTTCTACCTTTTCTTGACTTTTAATGTTAATGCATCTCAGAAATCAATATCCATAAGTAACTTTAGTGCTTGTGAAAATTAATCAGAGAAAGTTTAATATGTAATTCTGTATATAAATAACACAATTTCCATTTGTATTTTCTGATTATTAGTCATCTTTAAACATGTAAACAAATATATAAATGTATATATAGTGCTTTCACTCCTGGTATTATGAAGAAAGTGAGACTAGATTTACTCTCCAGTGATTTACAAAATATAAAAATAAATAGTTTTGAGTCTACTTTTTCAGTCTACTTCCATTTTGTGTAGCTGCCATAAATTTTAGTTGTAAATATGTTATAAATGCCAAAATATATTATTATTATTTCTCTCAGCAGCCAATTATTTTTTAAAAGACTACAACTAGTCAAAATATTATTTACAGTTACCCATAATATGTACCTTTATGACGCTCAGCATTCTTTTGTGTAGATTCAAGTTTCCTTCTGGTATATTTTAATTCTGTTTGAAGAATATTTCTGCTAACATCTTTTATGGTAAAGATTTTATGTCTGTAAATTCTCTAAGTTTTTGTTGGTCTGAAAGGGTCTGTTTCCCCTTTGTTTTTTTAAATTTATTTTTTGTCTTTAATTTTCAGTACTGTAAAATGTCATTCACTTGTCCTCTACCCTGAATAATTTAGATGAGAAGTCTAAAATTCTTACTTTTGTTCCTATCTACATAATGTGTCCTATCTCTTTTGGTTACTTTTAAGTTTTCATCCTTGTCACTGGTTTTCAAAAATTTAATTATGACATGCCTTCATGAGTTTATCCAATCTGCAGTTGTTTGTGTTTATCCTACTTGCTGCTTATCGATCACTTTAAAAATAAGCGCTAACATATTCAATAATAATTTTATAATATATTTATTAACTCAGCAATGATTTACATGATTATTTCAAAGAGAAAAGAAATCGATGAAAGCAAATGATTAGATTACACTAACACAAATGGAAAGGAGATTAGTATAGAATGGTAGAGTTGAAAGGGCTAGGAAAATCTTTCTTGATAGATTTCATCCTGTATTATTAAATCCTTTCTACCAGACTCCTAACCTCTTTCACTCTTCTAGTGACCAGAAACACATCGAATTA